GAGAAAAGTAAGAATAAAATAGATAGACAGAGAGATAGAGAGAGGGGAGAAGGAGAATGAAAGACATTGATTGATAGATAGATGGGATAGAGAGAAGAAAGAACGAGAGAGGAAGAAAGAAAGAGAGGGAAACGGGAAGACATTAAGAAACAAACACACACGTGCTGCACTAAAAGGGAAATAAATAAACACACTTCCACCCACGAATCTCTACAAACACAATCGCCCACATTGCCCCCAGTACATTACCTCTCGTCTTGCCCTTAAACTCATCCATGGTCTTCCTTTTTCCTCTCTTGCCCTTGGTCTTGTCCTCTGTATCGACGAGCGACCGCCTGCGACAGGAGACACCGTCGCACTCCTGACGAGAACCACGAAAGACACCTGTTGGTCGGTCCGTCAGCTGATGCACAGGCCACCCGCTTAGTGTACAGCAGGTAACGCCTTGACTGATATCCAGGGTGAATTCATCGATATTAATAAGACGATCGAATGCTGTGTGTCTCGGTGTGCGTTCCTTCCCTTGCGTTCAGTCCGTAAGTTCTTCTTAGTCTTTCGAAATTAAGGTTCCTGGCGGCTTTTCCTCCGAAGAAAGTTTTCGAATGCGTCTCGGGGCTTCAGTCCTTCCTTCCTCTCTCTTCTTACTGATCACTCAAGATCGAATACGAACCATAGCGAGGATAATAACAATGATTGAAGGAAACGCAGAGACGAGAGCCACAGCGAACGCAGAGGGAGAGGGAAGGAGAGCGCGCGTGCTATCGGCGCCACAGGTACCCGCTCGCGTGTGTGGTGTGGGAGACTGGAAGGCCCTCTCAACAGGTTCGCCGTTTCCCCTCACACACGCACACACGCTCTCTCTCTCTCTCTCTCTCTCTCTCTCTTTCCCTCTCTCTTTACGCTCCTCCCCTCTCACCTCCGCGCAATCTCACGTCAAGCCAAGGTGGCGTTTTCTCTGACCTGGTTCTTCCACAGGTGTAAAGACTGGCCTGTGATTTATAATGGCGGCTGTGTTGTGCTTCCTCCGTTTTTGTACTTATTGTTTTCTTCAGCCTTTTGTTTTTCTTTCTGATTATGATGATAGCGGTGATGATGTTGATAAAATAAGGGTGAAAAGCATTGCCCTAATAAATAGCATTGCTTGCTTTCAATGCTATTTTTTTCTCTATTTCTTTCATTCCTCTTCATTTACCCTATTATTATTGGCTTTCTTTCCGATCTTTCTTCTGCTATGCTTTATTTCCCAAATTAACTTCTATTTCCCTTTAACTTCTGGTTCTGTCTTTTCCATCTTTGTATTTTTTTTCCTCTCTCTTTATCCTTTTGCCTCCAGCCTCTCGTCTCTCTTTAATTCTCTCTTTCTCCAGATATTCGTATGCTCTCTCTCCCCATCTTTTTCTTTCCTTATTTTCTCGTTCACCTCCTCTCTCTGGTCCTTTATTTTCCTCTCTTTTACCTCTTTTTATTTTCATCCATCTTAATCCTAATTAATATCTCATTTACTTCCTTATTTCCAGATCATTTTGATTCTAAATTCAATTCTGGTAGATGAATAAAGAATATTCACCCATAACCTTATGCAACATCATATGTTTTTGTTAATGATTATTACGTGCATGCTTAGTTACCTAATATTTTTTTTCCTCAGCATCAGTCTGCAGCAAATGACCTCGTTGTAAACATAATTACAGTTGTACGAAATTACGAAGAGTATATTTATGTCATAATTTATCTCAGTGGCATGATCTAGGTGCGAAACTAGTATTACGTAATTGTAACTCAAATGGACTTATTGGCAACTCAACCTCGCCCGACAGTTTCTACTTTTTCTTCTTTTCTTTTTTCTTTCCATTTTTTTGGCATTACAGAAAGGCCTTTGGGGTTGGTTGTTATAGATATCATGTTTGCTTGCGTCTCTCTCTCTCTCTCTCTCTATCCCCCCCCTCTCTCTCTCTTCTCTCCTTCCCTCTCTTCTCTCTCTCTCTCTCCTCCTTCCTCTCTCTTCTCTCTTCTCTTTCTCTCTCTCTCTCTCTCCTCTCTCTCTCTCTCTCTCTCTTACTCTGATTCTGGGTAAAACAGGGAAACGAAGGTTGCTTAGAAACATAATTTATTTGTATGAAATATTATGATAGTTTTATAAAATATCTAAAGTCGGTATGTACAAAATCAGCATGAAATAAGAAAATACACTAATGCAATTTTCAATGTAGTATGACTGACTACGCAAAATCTTTTATATTACAAAAATACTCTCGTACCAGTTTCATATCTTGCTCTTAACTGAATTCCCTGATTTAGGTTTAATCCATGTATCAATTTTCAGTTTTGAACGAAGATACAAAATACGACAAAGAGCTGTTTTAGCCACAGAGGAACCTCGATTCCCTGGCCTCCCGTCCGATCTCGCCTCCAAGGACCCTTCACAGCACCTGAGGGTTCCCACGGCGCCGCGCCCTCAGTGGTTCTTCGCCGGACGAATCATCATGGTGGACGAGCGCAGGTACTGCTTGTTGCGCCACATGTGCCAGTTGATGCCGATGCCGTCGCCGTCGCCGGGCTCCTTGTAGGGCCCGTTCAGGTTGGCCCACGAGCACCGGTTGAACCACCAGCCGCCGATCTTCCAGTACTTGGCGCAGTTGATCTCGTGGGACGTGTCGTGGTCCTCGTCGTGCGTGGAGAACATCATGCCGTCGGCGGTGAAGTTGTCTGACTTGCCCTCGTTGGTCATGGCGTCGCCGGCCGTCCCGCTGTAGCCGGAGAGGTGGATCCTGTAGGCGTGGTCCTCGTTCTCGATGTAGAAGTTGTCGTACTGAGCGAAGGCCGACTCGCCGTCGAAGTCCGAGAGGACGATGCGGAGTTCGTAGTGGCGCGTGTTCGTCCAGACGTACATGTTCTCCAGCCCGATCCAGTAGTCCGAGGACGCGTTGCCGAATCCCACCTTGTAGTCGTGCCAACCGCGGTTGAAGTTCACGGCCTTGGAGTGGGGCAGGCGCCGCTGGATCACCGTCCAGCCGCCGCCGTCCGTGTCCATGTCGCAGAAGACGGTGACGGGCCTCTTGCCGTTGTGGTCCATGTGGAAGGTGTACGTCCCCGACTGCCTCCCTCGCACCTGCAGGTCCGCGCAGTCCAGCACGGTGAGGCGAGCGAGGACGTCCCCGGTGGTCTGCTCGACCCTGGACACCCGAGACCTCAGCGAGCTCAGCCTCTTGTCGAGCGACTCGTACATCCTCCTAATGATCACTACCAGGTCCTCTTCGCCCTGGAAAATGTCCTCGTCAAATTCCTCCTCCTCTTCGGCGATCTCTTCCACGGCCTCCGCAACGAGATCTTCCACTGCTTCGATGGCGTTGGTCTCTGTAACCGGCGGGGGCGGCGGCGGCGGCGGCGCGGGAGTGGTCGAAGGTTCTACTTCAACTATTAAGTCGTCGTACTCCACCTTATCTTCAAGTCCTCCTTGGATATCGTTGAGGCCGAGGCTGACGTCGCTCCCCGCCTTCAGCAGCGGGAGCCTCGGCGGAGCCATCGGAGGGTGAGGCTTGAAGACGTGGACGTCGTTCCGCCCGCCGTCCAGCGTGCGGGCGCGGGCGACGGCCGCGATTGAGAGCAACACTAACACTCGCACTCTGTCCATGATGCTGCGATATTTACTAATGCCAAAAGCTACAACAGGCTATCGTAATACTGAGCGAATTTTCATTCGGGAAAAACTGACTTACGAGCGGGGTCTAAATTCGGAAGATGTGACCCGTACGGCGGTCACGGGCACACTGACTCCCCCGCGGGATGCTACCCTGGCACGCCAGCGCTCCGAGTCCCCAATTTTCATCCCTTTGTTGAGTAGCGGGATTGGGTAACAGGCAGCATATAAACAAAACAAAGCAAGCAAAAATCCCCATTTACATAAAAAGACTCCATAAATGTATACATAAGCTGACGAGCTGCCATCCCATTGCACTAATAAATACCGATCGGAATTCAATCGATAAACAACGGTCATAGGCAGTGCGTGGGCGGGGCACTGGGGGGGGACCATGGAGGGGGGAGAGTGCACTGAGGCATTTCGGTGGTGCTCGTCAAGGGGGAAATTTTAGCCGCGGTCGAAGATGGAAAAAGGGATAATAGAGAGAGGGAAATTGAGTTTCACAAATACAATGTTGATCGCAATAAACATTATAGATCATCAAACAGTCAAGCTTAACGATAAAGCTTGGGTACAACAAACTAACTTTTCTTTCTCTTTCTTCCCCCCCCCCCTCGCTCTCTCCTCTTTCCCCTCCCCCCCCCTCTCTCTCTATCTTTCTCTTTCTCTCCCCCTCTCTCTTCTCTCTTCCCCTCCTCCCCCCCCCCCAGCGGCTGAAAAGACTATAAAAAAATAAACACAGTTTGAATATATAAACAACCCGCTTCTGAATTTCAACTGATATCGATGATTAGACAAACCACGTACAAAGTCATGCAATTTGAAACGAATCCACCAAATATAACAATAAAGAACAAAAAGATGGAGCAGATAGAGAAGGAGAGAGTGTCTTGGGACGTTTGAAGACGATATTGAGAAGATTATGCAAATTCGTCACTGAGATGACGAGTAGATTTTCGAGCGAAAAAGCGGGAGAGAAAAGAAATGCACACACACACACACGACACACCACACACACCACACACACACACACACACACACACACACCACACACACACACACACACATAGTATATATATATATATATATAATATATATATATTTATCAGATAGAAGAAAGAGAGAGAGAGAGAGAGAGAGAGAGGAGGGAGGGAGAGGAAGGGAAGGGAAGAGAGAGGAGAGCAGAGGGAGAGAGAGGAGAGAGGAAGGAAGAGAGGAAGGAGAGGAGACGAGAGGAAGGAGAAGAGAGGAAGGAGGAGAGAGAGAGAAGAGAGGAGAAGAGGAAGAGAGAGAGAGAGAGAAGAGAGAGAGAGAGAGAAGAGAGAGAGAGAGAGAGAGAGAGAGAGAGAGAAGAGAGAAAGGAAAGGAGAGCGAGAGGAGAGGAGATAGGAGAGAGCGGGAGAGGAGGGGGGGGAGAGAGGGAGACAGAAGAGGGGCGGAGAGGGAGGAGGAGAGAGGAGAGAGGCGAGAGAAGAGAGTGGAGGGAGGAGGGGAAGAGGGGGAGAGAGGGGAGAGAGGAGAGAAGAGAGGGAGACGAGAGAGAGAGGGAGGAGAAGAGAGAGGAGAGGAGAGAAAGAAAGAGAGAGAGAGAGAAGAAGAGAGGAGACGAGAGGGAGAACAGAGGGAGGGAGAGAGAGGGAGGAGAGGAGGAGAAGAGAGAGAGAGAGAGACAGAGAGAGAGAGAGAAGAGAGATAAGGAGAAGAGAAGAGAGAGAGAGAGAGAGAGAGAGAGAGAGAGAGAGAGAGAGAATGAGAGAGAGAGAGAGAGAGAGAGAAGAGAGGAGAGAAGAGGAGAGGAGAAAGAGAGGAGAGAGAGAGACAGAGGAGAGAGAGAGAGAGAGAGGAGAGAAGAGAGAGAGAGGAGAAGGAGAGAGAGAGGAGAGAGAGAGAAGAGAGAGAGAGAGAGAGAGGAGAGAAAAGAGAGAGAGAGAGAAGAGGAGAGAGAGAGAGAAAGAGAGAGAGAAAGAAAGAGAAAGAGAAAGAGAAGAGAAAGAGAAAAGAAAAGAGAAAGAAGGAAAGAGAAAGAGAAAGAGAGAGAGAGAGAGAGAGAAGGAGAGAGAGAACGAGAAAGAGAACGAGAAAGAGAAAGAGAAAGCAAATTATTAGACAAACACCAAAAAGCCAAATTCGGGAAACAGAACAGAACGAACTCACGAGCAGTCCAGTCGGCGTCGCGTGTCCCTGGGCAGCGTCGGGGGGGGTGTGGGGGGTGGGGTGGTGGGGTGTGGGTGGTGGGGGGTAATCAATCGGTCGCAGAGGCTGGGGGGTGTGTCAGGGACCCCACTTCCGGTCGGGCGATAGTGGAGGACGTTGTTGACATCACTCGCTCCGTTTCTGGCCGCCCCCGATTGCTCTCGATTTCCCATTCTCGTTTAGTTGGATGAATTGACGGGTTGTATAAGGCAGGGGACGAGTTGTAACACGTGTGGTATTATTTGGTTATATGTGGATTGTAATTCGTAGGGGGTTATATCAGTTTTATGTGTGGATCTTTTTTTTTAGCGGGAATTTGTCGTCGTGAAATCATGCTTGACGTGGGTGTGATTAACCTAGCGTGCGAGAATAACAACAGGGAGGGGAAGAGAACCACACAATGCTATTATACTACGAATTTTGTATATTCTCTCCCATACCTAGACTGATTTCCCAGAAGAAAGAACAATCACACCGAATTTTGATAACTCCACAAATATTTTTTTTATTTTAGATAAGCAATAATAATAATAATAATAATAATAATAATAACAAAAACAATCAAAACATCACCTAAATTTTGATAACCACACAAATATATACTTTTTTCAGATAAACAATAATCAGAAAAAAAAACAAAACAAAAACAAATCATCACCTAAGTCATCCCAGATTCCCGGAATTCACAGTACCACTCGAATCTGAGGGTTACGTAACACTCGGAGGACGACACTTGCCGGAATGAGGTGTGGTCACTCGCTCACAGGACACGTGACTGCTTCTCGGGATCGTCGTTGGCATTTAAGGAGGTTTAAGTGTTGTTACACACTCGTTGGTGTTAACGACTCTGTTATAGTTGTGTAGCGGTTACAGTAACACTAATGATATCATAGGTCCTCATTCTTATGGTGATGATGATGGTGATTATTATTGCAACCATTGTTATAATGACAGTAATGATCATGATAACGATAATGATAATAATGATAGCGGTAATTATCATTATTAACATTGTTACTAGTATAATCAATATCGTCATTAGTATCACATATCGTTTGAACTATCATATTTATCTGCCAGTATCTTTCACATTACACTTATCAGTGCTTTTACGTTCTTCCCAATTCAATGTCATTATCGTTACAAGGACGTTATTTAGCCGCTAGTCATCAATAGCATCATAATATCTTTACCACGTTGCTAATGTCATCATATACTTGCTAAAAACATTCTGGGTGACCTAAGACCTCGTATCTTTTATCTGACCTGACCTCGTTTTTTCACTCGTTAGTTGTGCATTTGTGAATAATATTTTTTAATGACAACAGTAGAAATAATAGTGATAATGACAGTAGTAGAAATAATAATGATAATGACAGTAGTAGAAATAATAATGATAATGACAATAGTAGAAATAATAATGATAATGACAACAGTAGAAATAATTTTGATATTGGCAATTATATGAATGATAATAATGGTGACGATAATAGCAAGATAACTTTAATGATAGCAACAACAATCTCATGAACAGTAAAACTAAGTGTTCCTGATGATAACGACAATGATAGTTCATAGTCTCCGTGGGAAGCGCAAAAAATATTTGTGAAGAACCCGTGCGTAATCATGAAATATGCACGTTTTCGAAACCTAGGCCTGTATGTCATAGTTTCTCTCTCTCTCTCTCTCTCTCTCTCTCTCTCTCTCTCTCTCTCTCTCTCTCTCTCTCTCTCTCTCTCTCTCTCTCTCTCTCTCTCTCTCTCTCTCTCTCTCTCTCTCTCTCTCTCTCTCTCTCTCTCTCTCTCTCTCTCTCTCTCTCTCTCTCTCTCTCTCTCTCTCTCCCATTTGTCCATCTGTCTCTCATACTATGAGTATGTATGAGCGTCAGACTATTGGTGTAATACAATGAACTGAGGTCACGACAGGCCGGGTGTTTTGGCTAAGTGATTAGAGAAGAGGAAGGGGGGGGGGGGGGGCAAAGGGGAAGGGAGAGGGAGGGAGAGGGCTATTGGAGAGGAGAGGAGGTACTCATACAGGGGTAGGGAGGATGGGGCCGTTCACAGAGGAGGGGGTGGGGGTGGGGGGTGGATAGACTATCATTGGGGAAGATGGGCAGACTTAAGGGGAGGGGGGGAGAGGTATATCTCACACGGGGGTGGGGGGTGGAGGGGACAGGGAACGGGGCAGCTCGCAGATCTCTGTGAATTCGTCCCTCTTCTCCCTTCCCCCTACGTAGTCACGCCTGCCTTCATGTACTAATAACCAGCTGATGTTTACACGCCACACGCGGATGTAAGGGTTGTGGTTGTTGTTAGAGACCTCTACAATGCGCGTGTTCCTTCTCTGTAACGATTATGGCAATGAATTCACATGGCAAAAGAAGCGGTGATGATAATCGTGATGGTGACAGATTTTATCATATTTTATGAATGATAAAAATTATATTGGAAGTAACAGCAAAGGCTAATATGAACAGCGATGATGATGGCGATATTAATAGCAGTGACGGTAATAAAACAATAATAAGATGAACAATATTGATATTCATAATGACTGTAGAGGAGTAAAGACAACAACAGCACAGTTGCTGGCTTTAATACTCGCCTTGATTCCCTTTCTGACTCATTACATGCGGTAAATGTCAGTCTAGCAAGGACAACGTTATAAAAAGGTAAATACTAACTCCTACTCAGAATTTCTGGTCAGGCCAATCAGCTGATCTTTCATTTGAGAAAAAGTGTGATGTATCTGATTTGTTTTTCAGCGGATGTGTTTTTTATTTATTTATGAATGATACACAATAATTTCGGTCATTTTTTGTTGTGCTCTACTCATTATTTTCAGCAGGACACATTTGTTCAACAAGATTTAGCAAAATGCTCATTAGATTCTCTTGTTTTTAAATTCCGTCTTGTCTACACGTTTTTTTTGCACTTGGTGACTGTGATT